AGAATATGAAAAGGATATTAAACTATTAAGAGTGTCCAAAGGAGGATCACGAGGATGCTGAAGGGTCTGGAGGGGAAGCCATATGAGGAGCAGCTGGGGTCATGTAGTCTGTTCAGCCTGGAGGAGACTGAGGGGATACCTCCTTGCAGTTACAACTTCCTAATGACAGGTAGAGGAGGGACAGGTACTGATCTCTTGGCTGTGATAACCAGCGACAGGACTCAAGGAAATGGCAGGAAGCTGCATCAGGAGGGATTTATGTAGGAGATCAGGAGAAGGTTTTTCACTCAGAAGGCACTGGAACAAGCTTCCCCAGGAAAGTCTTACAGCACCAAGCCTGACAGAGTTCAAGAAGTGTTTGGACAAGGTTCTCAGCACATCGTGATTCTTAATGGGAGTTGGAGTCAATGATCCTGATGGGTCCCTTCCAGTTCAGCATATTCTGTGATTCTGTGAACTCAGCTGCAGTTGATTTCATTGCCTGCAGTTGTCTGTGCCAGAGTGATCCACAGCAGCATGCCATTGATGCGCTTTTTTCACATGCATGTGTCAGCTAGAAAATCCACTCAGGAGCTTCCTGAGAGCCTGCTGCAATATAACCTGGTCTTCTGGAGCCTAGAAATCCCTGTGAACTCCTCAGATTGCTCCTTCCCACTGACAAAGTATTGTTTTGAGATACATCTGGTGTCAGGCGTAGGCATATGGCACCAGTATGGCAATGCTGGCTCCGGGGGTGGTTTCCTGCAGAAGAGGTCTGGCTGAAGGCAGTAGTCACTGCCTACTGAGAGTTATTATTATTTAGCACCCAGGTCTTTGTGAACTTGTTTGACTGGTGGCTGGGCAGAGTGCCATCGGAGCGTATGGACATGAGCAGAGACAGCTGAGTCTCCAGGGCCTTACATACATCACATGTGGGTACTGAGGTCAGGCTTCTCAGCAGGGAGAAGCTAAATGACTGTCTGTCCCAAGCACGTGTACCTGTGGTTGACGGGATATGCCATCATTAATCCAAATCTGGGCTGTATTAAGCTTCTAAAATAAAAAACAGCTTTGCCAGCCACTTGAAGAGCGCTAGGGGCCTGTTTGGATCAGTGCATTAGTGGGGAGGGAGAGAGGGAAGGAAGGAGCAGGGAGGCAGAGCAGGACTGATGAACAAAAGTTGCTCCACAGTACTCCTCCCCACGGGCTGAGATGACCTGACCCCCCCACCAAGGCAGGGGGCAAAGGATGCTGCCTTCCTCCCCCCAACTGCAGACCTCTCCAAGGGCTGGGCAGCACTTCTGTTTGTGAGACCCAGCCCTCTCTTTGCTGTAACAAGAGCATGGACATCTCCTGTTTTGTTTCTTAATTGTTTTCAGCACAGTTCTTGCAGCAGCTGGAGCAGAAGCTTTAGCATTTGAGTAGCAGGATTGCCTGTTTGCCAGGCAAAATCCCCATGTTTAGCAGCCTGAGCTCTCTTTTATGCTTGGGCAGTGCTCCCACATGGAACTAACTCAGGTTTCCCCCTCTGGCCCTTGGAGATTCACAGAGAGGCAGAGCATGCACAGGGGATGAGGCAGCAGTGCCAGTATTGTGGCCCCACTAAGAGTACAACATCTGGGTGGAAGATCACAAAGCCAGAAGCACCAGAAATACTTTAGTAAGGCCATTGAGAAAGCTAAGGAGAGACAGACAAAATTCAGTAGGCTGTATTTGCATAGAGGGAGAAAACACCTGAGGATTAGGCTGAAGTACATACTGAAGTGATTCGCTGCACAGTGCTGTTCAGAGGGATGCCGATGACCAGACGCTGCGATTCTGCCCGTGTCTTGTGGGTCCCGACAGCTGCTCAGACAGATGCTTTGTGGCACCCATAAAAAGATAATGCTGGGAATCTCCTAGCCTTAAATGCTGCTTTTCTACTGTGAACACTAAACTCCCTGTGGAATTCCTTCTGACATGATTCCTCCTACATTTATTTATGTGCTGTTGCCATATACTGTGAGACTAGCTGCTTCTGTCCTCTGCAACAGGTAACTAAGCACCTACAGTATAAAATATCCCTAACTGAAGAACTGGGAAGCTTTACCATTGTTATTGGAAAGTGCCACGAGATTTCCCTAGAAGGGTGTGGCAGAAGTGCAACTGAGGATATGCTGTTATTTTAAAAACCTGACCATGTGCTGGTTCCTCCCCCTTTGAAGTCAGTGGCAAAGCTGTTTCAGAGGAGCAAGACTACTTGAACAGGCAAACAAGAGGCAGCCTGGGGGCAGAAGAGGCTTACAGGGAATGGTTTCTGCTGCTGTCCTTGAGCACAGAGCTGTTCAGACAGACTGGAGACCTGTCAGCCACTCTCTCCCATTAAGACTAAGAAATGAATGCTTTTCAAGTTCTTAAATGAATGGGCTTAATCTTACAGCCCTTACTCATCTCAGTACTGCCATTAATTTTAAGAAAATAATCACTGTATTAAGTGCTATGGAATGGAGTCCTTAAATTGTTAAATTCTAATATTTGACAGAATTTTTTATTGGATAGAAAAATAATACTGACATAATTAAAAGGATGTGAACATTTCACGTTTTGAAGACTGCAGGCTGCTTTGGAGGGAGATATAAAACTAGAAGAAAACTAGAAGCAGTGCAGAGAGCCCAAGCCCGTGTCATGTCTGTAGGTTATTTTTGAACTTTATGAAAAACACACTTTAGCAGTTTATATCCTGACCATTCAACTGTATTCTGGCATTCTAAATGCAAAAACATGCTAACCATGAAAGCAGAACTTTTAAAAATACCCTGTCCACTTGGCTTCTTTGCCCTCCTTCAGAGTCTCCCAAGTTTGTTTGGGACAAACTTGGGAACTTTGTTGTGGAATGACTGTTTGAATTGGGGTTTCTTAAAATACATGTGGAGCCTTGTAGCTGCTGTGGGGTGTACCCAGTGGTGGAGCTGTACTATTTTAAAATCATCTGGCTATTTCACTTCATGTAAGAATATCTGTCAGCTTAGTTATAAGGAATGAGAGGGGTTGATTAAAACAACTCACTAAGCCATTAAACAAAGAGATAAAATGTAGAACATGTGCTGTAGGGTCGTTTTAATTATAATGTGCGGGGAATCTGTGGAAACTGGACAGCAGCTGCAGAGCTGCAGCTGAGTCTTAAACCCCTCTTAACAGTACCAACATCCTATTCCTTAGGGGTGGAGTTTCTTTTCTGTAAAGCTAGGTCCTTTGGAAATGGTGTTTGGAAGCTACCTCTTATTGCTATGACTGACCATAATGGAATTGCTGTGCTCAAGCACTTGGATATGGACTAAAATAGGCATTTATGTACACTAATCCTCTAGTCATTAGGTGCTAGACTATATAACAAAAGAGAAATGTCTGCAGAAGCATTAGTCAAGAGGGGAATGTATAAAGATGTCAAGTGAACAGTCAGGAAGATCCAGAGAGAGTGCGGAAGGAAAAAGGTAATGGCAGCTTTTTTCATTGTCTTGATTATCTTATTAGGTCAAAAAACCCAGTAATGAATATGCTGCTGTATGCTGTAAGTATGTCTATTAAGTTCACTTAGCATATACTTTGGCTTTAAACAATTTATCAATTTATCAAAATTTGTTTAATTTATCAATTATCAGGCAGCCACATGAATTCAGTAAAAACTGTTTAAACTTCCCATTTAACTTTATTCTTAATAACCTAGTTATAGGCATCAAGAGTTAGCATAATTAATTCTAGCCTTATCAGAAGGGGTTTCAAGTCTCTCGTGAGTTCAAATCAGTCTCAAGCCACTAGAAATCATCACAAGGAGCAGTAGGAAAAGGAGGCAACACATCTGCCCATGTCGAAGGTTTTGTAACCCCATCCACTTCTCCCAGAGACAGGGCCATTACCTAGGTAGACACTGGGTCTAGTTCAGCTTGGCAGCTCCAGTGTTCCTAATTCAACAAAGTTTACTGAAACATCTGCCATGCTTTTTATGCAAATGAAATATGATAATTTAGTTAACCCTTTGTCACTGAGTAAAGTGTGTTCCCAGATAGGAATACCAATACTTTAAAATATTCAGTCATTAAAATATAAAAAACCATTTGTATAAAGACATATAATTCAGTACCAATTATATTAAAATGGAAAATAATTATTTAAGAAGAGCATGGAAAACTTAAAGGAGTTACTGCTTCTTGCTCTTGGCTGTAGCTTGTAGGCACATGAAGGCCTGGGGACTGTTCCCTTGAGGACTTCAGCTGTTGTGTTATTTTAAAGACATTGAAAAGTGGTAGTTGGGATGGATAACAATCTCCATACTGGCTTGTGGGGCACTCTACCAGGTAGCCAGAGTACCCATCACACCAGACTGGCTCCTAAGCATCCCCAGCTAAAGAAAATATACAAAGATAACTCAGCTGCCATTAGGATGAGGAAAAACTCAGTTCTGCTTAAACAGTGTAAAGTAAGGTGTGGTTCCCTTTGTTCTTACCTTGGTAGCAGAGGAATCAGTCATTGATCCAACAATGAGACACAGCTTGTCAGCTGATGCTCTCAAAACAGCACACCTCGAGGTGAACTTCGCAGGTTTTTTCCACAGGCTTTCCTCAAGCTGCCTGAGTTAAAATTTAGAGGAGGAAGAGGGGAAGAGCTCTGCCTGATGGGATGTCACGGGCCAGGATGCCATTCTCTGTTTGGCTGGCATCTGGTTAGTTGAAGTTCTCACTTCTGGAAAAGAAATTAGTCACTTTACCATCACTGTCATGGAAAGGTTATCTCAGGTTTTTAGCATCATGCTCAGACTCATCTTGTATTTTCCCTAGGACCAATGGAACAACACATTTTAGAGTCAAAGTTAGTTCTTTGCGTGTGTCCTGTTGCTTTAGTAGAATTACTAGTATGCAAGGAATATGAATAAAGTTCATACGGTGATTCCTAAAATACAAAATGCCAATTACAGTATGCCTCCCTAGGGAGAGAACTGAAGATGGCTGACCATGTAACCCCTCTCTTCTCTACCTCTTTTCCTCCAGTCCTCCGTGATGTCAGTCTGTTTTGCCCGCTTTCACCCAAACCTGGTCGTCGGTGGAACATACTCTGGCCAGATTGTCCTGTGGGATAATCGCAGTCACAGGCGCACTCCAGTCCAGAGAACTCCCCTCTCTGCTGCTGCTCACACGGTAAGGATAAAAATCACCTCCTCCTTCCTTAGAGGAAATGGTCAGCAGGGAGAGGTAGCTGCCTAGTTGTGTCTATAATGCTAGTTGCCACACAGATGAAAACAGAACTGCGGCCCTTGAAGGGAAAAAATTAGATCTGAGACATGAACAACCACCTCCTGTAAGTGTTTAATCATCACACGTTGTACAATCAAGTCAGAACATTGTTCTCCTTTCCAAGGAGGAAGGCAGGATTGAGTACAACACTTGAGTGAGGCACCTATGTGCCAGCACAGTGGCACTGTAATTCTTGTCTGTAAAGAGAGCCAGGCCACTGTGGAGGCTGTATGCCTCTCAGTCTGATGTGGCAGGCAATTTGAGCTGTTGTTTTGGTGTACACAAATGTCTCCTTTGAACCAGATTAGGCGCCTATGAGGGTCTCATAGTGGATTCCTATAAGTAGATGCTGGTGCCCTCGGAAAAAGTGGGGCACTTTGCTTCTGTTTTCTAATAGAGCAATACATAAATCCCTGCCATGATCTTCTGATCCAGACAGGGCCACAGGGCAGAGTTTGCACACTGAGGGAGAGTTTGTTTCAATGGAATGAAGGAGGAGAGTATTTTGCTGATACACACAGGTACTTACAGATAATTACTGATAGTGGCAAGAGCAGTAAGACAAAATGTCTGAGAAAGAAGAGACTTTGTCTGTGGTGCAAGGATGATGTCTGTGATAGGAAAGTCTCTTACATTGAAAGCACTCATATTGTGCTGGAGGAAGAGACAAGCCTGGGTTGCCTGCTAAAGCATCCTCACTCTGCTATGGCACTGCCATCCAGTCCGTCCTGCACAAACACCTTGTGCATTCTCCTCCTCCAGAGTCTGGGCATGGGCACACTCTTCAGGAGAGATGGAAGGTGGAGTAGCTCATCCTGGGAGCAAGCTTAGGGCAGTTCCTGAGTGGAAAGTAGAAAGGAGGAGAAAAATGCAAAAGTGTGATATAAGAGTGCAGAAAACCACAAATTTTCTGTAATGTATGGAACTGAACTCGACAAAGCACTCTGAGAGATAAGATGATAATCTTGTTCTAGCAGATTGAAGGTTCAGACAAAGTGACAGTACTTTTGCAGCTCCAGCTTTTACAATTCTGTGATTCTTAGGTTTGGAATTTGCAGATCAAGGTTCAGCTTTCAGTTGACTGTGACAACATAATCCCTGGAGTTAAAAGACAACTCCAGAAGCCATGCCATGTGAATTACTGCTGAAGATTCAGGATGGGGCCAGTATTATGACTGCAAGTCCCTTATATTAAAAATTACAGGTGTGCACAGACATGCTTAGTGAGCCAGGCAATACAAATATTGTTCCCTAAATTTCCACTATCATGAATGTTGATGTAATTATCTAATGATTTGTGCCATGGGTTGCAACTTCAAGATTGCTTTTCATTTCCCTAATGTTTTTGCTCATTTTGTTGCCAGTAATGTTGTTCAATCTGCATGAAAAGAAACAGTCTCTCCTGGAAGTGCAATTTAGAGATGTAGCAGACCAGAAAACTAGTGGCAAGAAGCTGACTGTCACTAAAAATTGAACAACTGGGACTCAAAATCTAGTGGAAAAGCAAAGACTAATGGGAAGTAATTTGTTTACACTCAAAAATAATTTAAGGCAAAATTGTACCTCCTGGAATTATATATTAAAACAGTTTTATTATTGCAGTAGAACAATATGTAATGTTTTCCTTTTGAAAAATATAAATAAATTACTTTCAGTTGTGGATGGGCACTTTATGTGCTGTCATGGATTGGTATAAATAAGTGTTTACACAGTCTAACATGAGGAAGTATGATATTTTAAGGAGTGCTCAGATTTTACAATAAGAGTTGCTTACTTACATAAACTGTAAATGAGGTCTTGGTTGCAAAAGGCTGGCTTGAATCCTTGCTGCCAAGAAAAAAAATTAAATTAAGACAACACTACATTAGCAATGTTACTTTTTGTACTGCTAGATACGTGAGCTGAATAGTCTTTTTTTAAATTCAAACTCGTGCTGTATGTGAAAAAAGGATTTTTCTTTTTTCTTTCTCTTGCTTTGTTTATTTGAAACAGATAGATCGTGTTGTTTTCCCTGACTTAAACCTTCCTGAAATTTAGTATCACTGATTACTGCCTGGATTCACCAGGAAAGAGAATTCTACCCACAGCTTACTCACTAATTTCCTTTCACACCCACCACACATCTGCACTTGGGACAACAGGAAATTTTAATTAAGACAAAACCTTTTTGCATGATGATTTCATTTCCAAGATAAATAAAAGCAAGCTGGCAGCAACCCTTTGAAAGGAAGGAGCCTGTTTAGACTTTCTGTTACATACAGTTGGTTGTCTTTTTCATCCGCTTTCCTTACATCTTTTCATTTCTGTCATGAGTTTTATTGTGCGTGAAATTGATGGCTGGTAGCCCTGATTAAAGCCAGGCCTGACACAGAGATGCTGCTGGAAAGACATGGCTCACTCTTTTCCCCCCGCTAAATATTCTGCATATTCCACTGCTTGCTCACCCACTCTGTCTGTTTGGTCTACTGGAGGTAAAATCACATGAAAAAAAAAGGTCTATGCTTATTTCACACATCAGTATGCAGTAATCATGTTTAGCACTGGGGTCATTAGCTTACATTAAGCAGCAAGAAGGTCCATGATATGAGGGTAATAGTGTGAGACACATGTGAGGGACTAATTGGGGTGCATTTAATGGTCTGGGAGAAACCAGGTGCCTGACAATCTTGAGAGAAAAAATGGCATCAAATGGACCTTGTGACTTACTGGTGTGTACAGGTTTCCTCCAAGCACAAGGTAGTGTTTCAGCACCAGCTGCTCAGTCCATCCCAGTGTGGGCACAAACACTGTTTGTACAGGTGCTGCACCTTTTGCTCTTGGAGAGGGAACATTTACTGGGCCCACTCAAGTATCAAACCTGAGAGTGAGCCAGAGCTCTTGAGCATTTCTGCCATTCCCCACTGACTGGGTTGGTGACCTGCAGCTGGATCTTGACATAAGTGGCAGTTCTGCCATTCCTTTCAGCAGGACCAAATGCTACATTCCTAACACTACATGGAGTTGCTTAGAAGCTCCCTAGGGTGCTGGGATGTCTTGCAAGTTGGTTCTAATCTTCTTTAATTAAGCAAAGTATTAGAGAAAAATTGTTTTTTCTTTCTGGAGGTCTTCTATTTATTGGTAAACACAGCAGGAAAATTAAATTTTTCTTTGCTTGACTTTTGTATATTCCTAACCCTTAATTTAGCAATACCACTTGTACTGGTCAAAGGAAATTAAATTTTATTGTTCAGTCTGACTGATTTTTCACTCTGGAGATTGCAGAACTTGACCCATCCCTCATATGTCACCATCAGATATGAGATGGCATTTCAGGCTCAAAGTGTTACCAGGCTCCTTGGAAAAGGAATAGGCCAAGTTTCATTATGCATACTAGCTGGAATTCAGCCTCTATGGAATGACTGCACCATGGTGAACCAGGTGTAACACCCTAAATCTAGTCACTCCCCACTTATAATGACAGATTTTAAAAGGTGTATTGGCCAACGCTGAAGAACATTGATGGGCTTGTTCATGTTCTTCAACTGGAGTACATTTGCAAAAATTTAGCATGAAAGCCAAATTCTGACAGAGTTCAAGTTTTATGCAGCTGTTTTCTTGAATAAAGTTTTCATTTTTATTCCATTTGGACAGTTTCCCTCTTTCTGCTGGTTATTTTCAGTGTCAAAAGCCATCAGTAGAATGATACATGTCCCTGTGGGTGAAATCTCTTCCACATAATTCTGTATTTTCACAGCATTACTCAGCTGGGCTGTTTTATTATGAGGAAAATGAAACTTTGAAAACATTTCCACCTCCATAACGTACTTCTTAATATTTAAATGAAAAAGAAACACAATAACCCAACCAAAACAATTCCTATCTGGCAAAAGCTGAGTCTTATATTTTCCAGGCATTGTGTGACTATTTAATCATTCTTTAAAATAACATATGAGACATTAGAAATCTGTTTGTGAAAGCGTAAGAATGGCTCTCTGACTTCCAGTGTTCTGTGCTTTCAGCATCCTGTGTATTGTGTGAATGTAGTTGGAACACAGAATGCACACAATCTTATTACTGTCTCTACGGATGGAAAAATGTGCTCCTGGAGCCTGGACATGCTCTCAACTCCACAGGTGGGTTTGTTTTCACCAGCGTGGGGGGGAAAATTGTCTTTGGTAGAGCAGGATACCTGCGTAGTGGAACATAGCTCCTAAGAGCCAAAATCTCGCATCCTATACAAACTAAAACCAATGGATGCACTTGAAAGAGTACAGCTTGTTTCCAGCAGTCTCTGCTAAGAGCCAAACCCCATTTCCTTTACCACAAATCATGTAATTATTGTAATACGTTAATACATAGGTCAGTTTCAAGTGAAAATGAAATAGCCCATTTTAAAGCATGGTAATTACAGAAGTCGCCTGTGGTATAAATTGCACTTATTCTACAGCATTGTTTAACAAATATGGACTAGATTGCACTGCTGCTGGACACACCCTAGGCACTGCAGGTTTCCAAGGCACAGTCAGAAACTTATTTTGCTGGCAGCCTTCAGTAGCCAAAGGAACAAACAATGCAAATCAAAAGTTTTAGAACTAATTCTCCCCCTCTGGAATGTTTGCTACTATTGTCTGTTCCCCCCCCCTCCTTTGTATCAGAAATGAAAGGAAACACAGGAAAATTGCCCAAACCACTAGTGATTATAATAACGGAAACTAAACAAAGAATCCAATGCTGAAAAAGGTGTACAGAAAGCATCTTTTAAGTGTTATCTTCGGAAGAAATACATTTTCTATTCTAACACATCACTCATTTTTATACACAATTTCTTAGAAAAAAATTTATATAATTTTACTAAGCATCATGGGATCTGATCTTGTTTCAAAATGCTGCATAGAAACTCCCTATAATGATTCCATTAATCATGCACTAATGTGCAATTACTATTGAATTATTTGCTTTTCAGTGTTTACACAAGAGGTGGGACTCCTCTGTCCTAACCTCAGCCATCTAAAAGTTGATGTGTCAAGTCTAACTTAGAAATTCAAGTTTTCTGTACCACTGAGGTAGAGAGAGGCTGGTACTTCTGGAGTGTGACTCATCCCATCCGAGTGTGAAAAGCCATTTCAGATACCCACCCTGGGACATGAAACTATCCTATCTTAGGGTGGAGAAGGATTCTGGAAGTCATCACATCTACTCCTCTACTCAAAGTGAGACCAACTTCAAATTTCGACCACATTGCTCATGTAAGGCAACAGTGTAGGGCTGGTAGTTGTGCCCTGGGACTGTAAGAAACCAATATTCTTCTGCAGTAGAAATAGAGGCATCTAAAATGGCCCAGGCATAATGCCTTCCACAGTTTCTCACCTAAACATCAAGAACATAAATCCAATCCCACCCCTGCATATTCATTTACTGGAATACTCAAGTCTGAAGCACAGATCTGTGAACATCTGAGTTCCAGTATCTCATCACTCAAATGGAATTTCTCTGCTCCAAATCTGGCTCTCGACAAGGATGGGAACACACCCCACATTACACTGAAGTCTGGCACATGGCTCGTGGTGATCCAGAAAAGAGAGGCACAGGACTTGACGTCAAGCTGCATGCCATAGCTTTAAACTGGGAGGAGTAAAGTGTTGCTGATGTGTGTCAGTCTGAAACTGTCCAAAGACACAGCTCCAGAGCCCTTGTGTACAGTCATGGTGTGGGTGCTGGGAGCAGAGTGTCCACCACAGTCTATGGTCATGTCTCTGCAGAGACACTAAATGATGATCTCACCCCAGAAGGTTTTAACAAAAATATATGGTTTCTCTCCCATAAAACAGAATTTCTCTCTCTCTCACTCACATGTTTACAGAAATATGGGGTGGTCTCCCAATGCATTTTCCATGCCTTGTTTTGCCTTTATAATAGAACCAAATTTATTTCAAAGAAAAGCATAAACCAAGCAGAAGGATTTCTCTGTGGGTTTGCATCGCTCTCCTTTCACAGGGATACCCAATTTCTTTACAGCAAAAAAGCCCTTTTGAGAAAAACCGTACAGGCTTTGGCCCTAGAAGAACAGCAGCACAGACCTTTTAAACATAGAGAACATAACCACTTAAATAGCTAAAAATGAAAATGGTTAAATCATTCAGGCCTTTTGTGGATTCTTGGGTTACACCATTTAGGCTGAAAACCTAAAAAGTTGTGCAAAATCTGCTCAAAGCGTACACATCTTGCAACAGCCACAAACTTGCATGGTTATTTTATTTGCAATTGCAAAAATGGGCATGCTGATTTGCTTTAAAATATAGCTACCAAATGAAAACAGAAAACATTCCTGCTGGTTTGTAGCTTGATGGTGGAGTCTAGAGGGAGTGTTTATGGTTACCTCAGAAAATCCCTGAAAAGCAATGCTTAGAATGGTGGTAGTGACAGGACCCCAACTTTTTAATTTTGTTCTGCAAAGGGACAAATGACACAGTGAAATAAATGCCTCACTTGCACACGATATTGCAAGAGCTTCCTGACAACTGATTTCCAGAATGTAAATAGAAGGGTATTGCATGATTTATTAAAGCCTGGGGCTGGCAAATGTAGCCATTAAGGTATTATCTTTAGTTTCTGCACCATTAGATTTTAAATTCTCACCTGTCATCTCTGGCTGATCTAAGATGATGCAGAAAAGGCCAGTGCCTTCCTGCCAGTCTCATATATGTGACAGACAGCACTGGGGATGGCAGGAGCATCCTGGTTTGTGGCACTGCATCTTCTTACAACATCTTATGTAGAAACCAAATGTGACTGGGTCAAATGATTTCATCTTCCTCTCCTGCTACTCCATGTAATATTTAGAAATCAGTTTTACAAAAACACTCCAACCCAGACTAACAAAAGGAGGATGCCAGCATAATAACAAAAACCTGTTTTGGTAGGAGAGCATGGAGCTGGTATACAATAAGTCCAAACCAGTGGCGGTCACAGGAATGGCTTTCCCAACTGGAGATGTCAATAACTTTGTCGTGGGCAGTGAAGAGGGAACAGTCTACACAGCCTGTCGTCATGGAAGGTGAAGTTCAGCATTTTGTACTTATGAAACATTGTGTACCTGTGTCGATGAGAGATAGCCAAGTGTGTGTGGAGAGTGTTCAATGTTTTCTTCTCTTGGATCAACAATGTTTTTACTGTTCCTGTGACCAGCACAGGAGCTCCCTGACTTTGAGCATCTTTGCTACAGCCTGTTATAGTGGGGCAGTTACCCCAGGCTCCCTGTGTAGCTGGTGAGGAGCAATGATTACCCTAAGGCTGACTTTCTGTACCTTTTTCAGTCATGTGCCTGAAGAGAAGGTGGCTGGGCCCTCAGAAATACCTCTTTCTCACCTATGAGATGAGATGAGATGAGATGAGATGAGATGAGATGAGATGAGATGAGATGAGATGGAGGTTTACACAGCTGTGTTCAGGTTTATACACCTAGCTGAGATGCCAGTGTCTATGTCTGCTCAGGTCAAAGGAGGCCCTTGGAGACACTTCTGTTGCAGGATATTGAGGCCTAAACCAATATCAGATGGTAATCTGTTTTATTTTTTACCATTCTCAGCTCCATCTTCAGTCTCCACAGTGATAAATCAGAGAAAAGCCACCATGGGCCTGGTTCCTTTAATAACACGAATGCAACCACAGTGTGCCACATGGGTTCTAGACAATCCTGTGCTCTCTCACGCTGTGGTCACACATAACATAACCCAGGCTGTAGTTTGGTACTGCAAGTTCCTTGTTTGGCACCCTGCAAACCTGCAGGATGCTAGTGTGGTCTGTTAGCTTCCAGTAGTAGTTTTATCTCTGGGAAACTTGAAAGGCTTTTGTAAAGAACAAAAGCCTGGTTTTCCACTGACAGACTTGGAGCTCATCTGCCCCAGTAGTACGCAATGTTCTCTGAATTCATATTTTATCATATTCTGAGTATATGTTGGCCAAAAAGACATTGATACAGTGATTTAAGATTGTAAGGCTTCTGTTACACATCCCAAATGTTTTATAAATACTGTTTTACATATGTTTTGTTCAATGATTTTTTATTTTTAAATATTTTTATTTTAGCCTGACAGCTGACAGCATTGCAAAATGGTGTCTATTTAGACATGGTTTGAATGAGTCTTAGGCTGCTAGGATGAATGAAGCATGCCCAAGAGCATTTCTCACTTCTGAGCTTTCAGACTTGCCTGGTTTGTTCCTCACAAGAGGGGGAAGGTGCCAGATCCTCTTTTTAGCACATCTTTTTAGAAACCTTCTACTGACCATTGACAAAAGCTCTTCTGCTCCTGCCTGTCTTTCCTGAAGCTTTTTGCTATCATCCCAGGTTTACTTCCAGAGGCTCCTGTGTCCTTCAGCCCAGCACAGTGAAGAGCCATATGTCTATTCTGGAAAAAGGTGTGTCACAGCACAGCAGACACCCAGGGTGGTCTCAGTGCTCCAGAACTCCCCTTACCCCACTGACTACATGGCAGATAGCTAGGATAAAATAAGAGGTGTCCTTTGTATCCAGCACTGCAGGGCTCAGCCCCTGCTCCAGCACATGCTGCAAGGTCTGGCAGGGGAACATAAGTGAGATCACCCTGTCCACACAGGAGAGGTGAGGGGACACTGCACCAGCTGGTTGAGGGAGCAGTTTCCTCTGGCACAGCTCTGTATCTCCTTTCAGTACACTGTGCTCACACTGTACTCACTGGCACAGGCCAGTTTTTCTATAATCTAGCTAAAAGGGTAATTTCATTATTCCCTTTTCTGTGTACACTGTAAGACAGCACTGACAACTGATCTGGCATCATTTGCTTCCAGGAAGAAGAAAACTGTGCACATTGTCTCTTACACAGTGTTGTACTTTTCCTTTCTAACAGCTATTCCAGCCTCTGGCTGATGAAATGCACATCTCCCCTTGTTCAAAGTAATGACTGTATGATACCTGATCACAAGATCAATTACTTCACTTTTTGTGAAAAAGCATTTGCTTCCTAGTGACTTGATTGACTGCTAAGAAAAGTTATCTTAGATATTTAAGAGAAAAAGATTTGCCCATGATAAGTCATTAACATATCTGCATTTTTATTTTAATGGTTATTCCTTGATAATGGCTTACTCAGAGGCATAAGCTATAGTAAAATTAAAATTTAGAATTTTATAATGATACAGAAGTGTTATTTCAATCTACAGGAGTAGACAGTGTATGTAGAAGTGAGTAAGGTAAGTCTTCAGAAGTAAGAGAAATTCTCCCTGTGCTTGATTCTGAGCATTAATTTTGCCCACTGGAGTAAACCTCTGCAGGCAAAGTGTTTAGCAGAAGGAGAAAGATTTGCAGGTTAAATAGAACTTTAAAAGGAAACAGGACCCTAACAGTAAAGAAAAGTTATGTTAAAATACTAGGTGGTGAATCACTCTGCATGTAAATCCTTCTTCTTCCTGCAGTAAAGCTGGCATTGGTGAAATTTTTGAAGGCCACCAAGGACCTGTCACAGGAATCAACTGTCACATGGCAGTGGGTCCAATAGACTTTTCCCATCTCTTTGTCACATCATCATTTGACTGGACAGTGAAATTGTGGACCACAAAGGTAAGAAATCCAAGTTGGGCTGGGACAAGTAATTCTACTTGGGAACATGCTGTTGTCAGAAATATTTTAATACTCTCAATCAAGTCCTAAGAACCAATTAATTGTAATGCTGTGATTAGAATGAGCATGTGATAGAATTGTAAGTAAAATATATAGCTAGTGTAACAACCCTCAATCATATTTGCCCTGGAGCATACCTTGCCATTTAGCAGGCCTTCATTTCAGTGTTAACCCTAGTGCTGAGCAGTTTCACAAGGCAAGGAGAAGAGGATGTCTTGTACTGCCAGCCATCAAAAAATCCATTCAGCACTCCCTGTGCAGGCTAAATTGCAAGGTTAATATTATGCGCCATGGTGGTGCAGGAGCAGGAACAGCTTCCTCTGATGAAGCAACAGGGGAAGTGCACATACAATTTAGTGCAATCAATATCACCTGCAAAATTCACTGCTGGAGGAGTCTGTGATAGCCAAAAGGTATAAAATGTCCCAATGACATTAGACACTGGAAGCAGGGAGGAAGCACATGCTGGAACTTACATTGATGACCACCAGGGATCTGCTGCTGACTGCTCTGTGGCTGTCTGTCCATGACCTCTTTCAGAGGGAGCAGCAGAAGAGCAGAAATGGCACAGTCCTGTGGAACTTTGAAACCCCAACACTCCATGGGACAGACTAAACAGACCAACCTGATGGATCATACAGGCTGAGTAAAACAGGACAATGAGATGTAAAGTCCTAATTATATAAGTAATCTACATTTATTTTTTTATACACCAGAGTAGAGAACTGCCCTCCAAATGTCAGTTCTTGCCTTAACCAAGTCGCTTTTATGCCTGCATTTGTTTCACATCTTGAGCTGCACCCGGCAGAGTTCCCGTACTGGAAGCTGACCACAGTCAGGAAGTATCTCAGCATGTGCTCATCCAAGACATCAGGGCTTGGAGATTCTAGAACAGATGCACAGCAAATGTAAATATGAAAGTGATCAGAAGGGCTCATGTGACAGCCTTGTGCTGGAAAAAGAAACAGTTACCTGGATGGTAACTTGAATCAGCTTCCATAGTAGCTTCCCAGTGCTTTTGTTAATGGCCTGATCCAATGTTTGTGCTAATTAACAGGTATCTTTTCCTAATCAGCAATGACCACAGGTGTTGGTTTTGTCTTGAGCATTGCACTTCAGGAAAGTCATAATGAGAAAGGTGCATGATTTGCCTAATTCACATGTAACTAAATTCATCACTAGATTCAGCCTGAACCAATGCAAAAGTAATCCAGAGGAGTGGACATGGGAAGGCTGGAATGGGTCTGGGATGGTTCCTGGGTGGTAAATGTTAGAAAAGGCTGCAGGACAGCCAGGGGATGGACAGCTTAAATGTTGGCTCAGTGGGGTTAGATAGGCTGTTTGGTGGGTGAGACAAGGGAGTCCTGGGCAGTGATGACTTCCCTTGGGAGCAAGGGAATATTGGAGTGTTGAAGCTGAAGCTGAGTAAGGGGAGAAGAATTTGTGGGGAGTGCAGGGAAGATGAAAGGCAAGTATTGAATTCCAATCACACATGTACAGAAAAGTCTTGGATTGGTATTTAGCTGTCAGCTTGAGGCTGAATATGGCAATAAGGGTCTCATTCATCTGCAGCTTAAATGAAATTACATTAAGGGATAATAAAGCCTGATTTTTATTTTAAAGTCTTGGGATTTTAGAAGTTAGTAGTAACACTAACACAGCACATTTTAGGCACAAAGACGCTGCAGATAGTAATACACAGTTATCCTTGTGGAATATTTCAGTGCCAGAATGGTTTGGGTCTGATTTTGTTCAAGACAATCAGTTTTCAAAGAACCAAACCATTTAAATTTCTGATATCTATCAAGCTGTGGCTTGTCTGGCAAGAGAGGCTTCCTGAGAAAGCTGTTTGAGCTGGGTGAGCTGTGATGTGCATGTGACACACCACAGCACCGCTCAGACCTGGAAGCTGCATTGCTCTTTTGGATCACTCACTTTCTTCTGGAGCAGGTTTAAGCAGCAGCAGCAGCCCCAGGCTGCTGCCCTGCCAGCCACTGCCCTGTGAAAACATCCTCTGAGACACTAGACAAGTTCTTGAATTGTGATGAATGTTTTCTTTTTCTCCCCATTCAGCTGCATCAGAAGTTTATTTCCATATTGTCTGAATAATTTTCTTGGCTGGAGCTACTACATATTTAAGGCTCTCTTTGTTCAGTTCTCATAGTCAAGGCTCAGTCAATCAGTGGGCTCTGAAAAAAAAATAGTGGATTGATATAAAGTATTAAGTGCTTCTGCTGGCTAACACGATTTTAGTCGGTATTCGTTTATTCCTTTAGTTTCTTATTTGTAAATTTAATCTCCCTAACAGCATCCAAAGCCATATTGCTTTCCTGCTTCTACCAGCATTGTCTACTTAATCCTGTGCACATTATCCTCTTTGGTCATGAAATTCAATTCCTTTCTGTTTCACAGGTTCAGAGTCAATGTCCAATTGTAAAGTGAACCATAAAAGCTTTGTGTTTTTATTGTCTATTGATGTTGTGTAGCATCCTGGGGTGCTTACAAGAAAGGCACTTTCATAGCAGGCATTTGACTGATGGATTGAAAGCACCATCTTCCTTAAAAACTCTCACTTTACATTTTATAATGTTTTTGTGGTTAACACATTTTCTAGCTAAAGGCAGTTCAACCAGGTGACTGAGAATAAGATTTTCACTAGCGGATGAATGAGCGTTTTTTAGATAACACTAACACAAGGTTCATATTATCATCCATCACATTAGCCAAAAATTAGATCCCTGTGTGAATAGCAAGCAACCAGAAGCAACAGGAAAAGAAACAGAATTTGCAAAGATAGTTGCTTGATAACCACGGCATTACCTGGTTCCTCATAAAGTTAATACGGCTTTCACCTTGAATTCGTGCTACGCCATGTGAGCAAGTCTGGGATGCAGAGCTGTCAAAGGGAAGTCCCGATGTGAAGTGTCTGTGGAGCTCTGCCCTTAATTAGGTAGTGTTGGTACGATGCTTTGAAGAGGTAAAGTGCTAAGTGGAAATGCTAAGTGTTGTTAATTAATTAAACACTAATCCTCATGAATGAATAGCATGAGGTTAAATAATGAAATGTAAGTATTGTTATTATTACAGCAATTGCTGTTTGGAGAGCAAATTTTTTGATATTGTGTCAAGAGATGGAAGCTGTCTTGGAATTGTTAAAACATAGCAAAACATAAGCTGGCTTCAGCTAAAGCCTAGAAGATGGTTTGTTTGCTGCTAAGGGTGTTAATAAGGGTCTGAACAGAGAGCTGGATTTTGTTAGCTTTTTCATCCTTCACATGCCTTCTTTAGCTCTTATCCTTCCACTGAGGAGAGGTGCTAATGACTAATTTTCTCCTCTTGCACCTATGCCTAAATCGTGCTCAGATAAGCAGAGACTGGAATAACTGTAAAACATTGCTGTATCCCCATCCGTGCTTGTCTCCCTCTGCCCAATGTTTAAGTAATGGTGGTAATGCCAAAATCAGAAGGAGGCTCAGAGGTGAGCAGACTGGTAGTAGGGCCACCACATAACCATTAGCAGGGTCTAATGGAGCCTGAGGTCACGTGTGCCCTCAGTGACAGATTACCCATTGTGTGTCCATGCTCAGTTTTGCTTTGCTAGTACGTGCATCAATGGCAGTGCCTTCCTCGTGCCTTTCCTTTGTCTTTTTTTTTCTTATGCTCTTCACATGCTGCTCTTCTCTTCTGTATGCTCTGCTGTTCCAGTCTTTTGAGCTTTTTTGAGAAACCACATTTTAAACAGCAAACATTCCCATTTCTATGCTATGTGTCGTCACATACATCTCTGTACCTTGAATATCTTATGCTCATGTGCTTGCTGACAACCTGGGTACGACCCAGTCCTTCTGTCTCTTGGAGCAAATTATTTTACCTCTTACACCTTCCTATCAGCATGCAACTTCAGACTCCACTGGTTTTCATTTGGCCTAGAGTTGAACACCATCTCCTCCAAGGTCCAGCTGAAGCCTACCTTTAGAAAAATGCAAAGAAGCATGTGGTGCTGGTGGTGTTGCTACAGACAGGTACCTCTGCCCTTCCCCAAAAGCCTTGCTGGTAGGATCTGATCAGATTCACTTAATAGACCAAATTTACTGTGATGGAAAAGGGTATTGCAGAATGAACCAGGGTCACCTTTGGGCCATATCTTCTCACATTATCATGTAAGGCATTTTAGATGACTCTTCATATGAAGTTGGATCCTCCTGAATCTTTTATTATGTAGAGCTTCCACACTTTGGTTTCTTATGCAGCCACTGGAAAGCAGTAACAGTACTGCATACATAAGACACCTCTTGGAGAGACCACCATTCCTGCCCCCCACTGTCTGTGCAGGAGCCCAAGTCTGGCAGATGATCAGTTGCTGTAGCTTTTGGTGGCTTTCTTGCATCTGAGCAGCCTCAGGCCATATCTAAACCAGCAAACGTGTCAGCACTTTTGAGCTCCCAAGTCTGTCTTCGTATCCTGGCTTTTCCCAAACCACTACCAGGAAGGAATCAGCCTCTTTATCCCATACCACATGCACATATACATATGCACCTTGATTTGCAGCCAGAATCCTGTGGAATCCTTTACTTCTCCTCCCTTTGACTGATTTTGGTGGATCTCAAATGTCTACCTCAAGGGACAATTTCCCTCCTCTTAGTTTGGATACCTGACTAGAATGGTCTCCCTCACTGATGCATTACCACACAAAGCTCCTTCTTTTCTCTTTGATAAAAGCAATTAAAATTGTTGATTTGATTAATCACTGCCTAAATGTCAATTTTATCTGATTATAGGGAATGACAAAGGATAATAAAATAGCATGCTGGGATTTCATGGAAATGGTCTCTCTGTGGTGTGAGTTCAGAATTTTGAGTTTGATCCAAAAATAAGTCAATGAATGAATTTGCTTCAGAGCACACTTTCTGTCAGAAGGCCAAGCTGACTTGGGGAAGAGG